AAGTGTCAGCGACAGGGGAGAAGGTGGAAGGTTAGCTGAGGTGTGGGAGACACCCCCCTGTTGGGGTGACCCACGCGGCTCTCCCAGGGGAGCTGTCTGAGGACAGACAGCAGCAGGGACCGCAGCCAGCAGCTCACGCTGCGAGGACCAAGCGCGGGGGCCTCCAGCGCAGGGTCGCGCTGCCAGCCCCCGCCCCGGCTCCCGCACAGGCCAACAATCTGATGCCCAGAGAGCTGCGTGTGCCCGGCTGCCACCTGAGGAAGCTCCCCCCGGGAGTCCCAAGCCTCGGGGGACGAGGGCACTGCCACCCCGCCACCCACGTCCTGAAGCTGGAGCTCTCGCGAGACAAGGACCGCCAGCAGGGCCGCCGGGGGCCCCGGGCCGGGAGGAGGGGGCTGCTCACCAGCTTAGGTGGTAAAGCTGATGCCAAGTCTAGCTGGCATCAGCCCGGCTCCCAGACGGCAGGGGAGGGCCCAGGAGCCAGCAGGGCCCGGAGCACCAGGCTGGGCCTGCCCCTGAGGACTGGCACACCGAGACTCAGGGATGGAAGATGGGCTGGACAGAGATCCAGGGAGGGACAGAGAGTCCTAGAGACACTGGGAAGCTGGACTGTGATCCAGAGTGGCCATCACAGGCACCCTGACCTGCCCTCCAGTCTACCAGGGGTGCGGAGGGCGGAAGCTCCCCGGGGGAGGGCGCCCGAGAAAGCTGGCATGGAAGAGCGCTGTGACAGAGAGGCTCATCTTGGCTTGACTCTGCAGTGATGCCCGCTGACTTGGGGTATACCCTTGGCCTGTGATGACCTGGGCCGAGTCCCACGGCAGGCACAGTAGGGAACAAGATCTGCTCTGGCTCTGCCGTCCTGCCTGTGTGACACCGGTGCCAGGCCTGGAAGATGGTCAGGTGACCCCCACCAGGAAGCGCCAACAGGGCTGAGCCTGTCATACCTCAGGGGAGCCTGCTGACTCGGGCCCACTGGGGTTCGAATCACAGCTGCGCCACTTAGAACTCATGGTACCAGTCACCTGCTGGGCGTGCCCGGGCACGTCACTGCAGGAGGCCCACAGTGCCCACAGCCTGAGAGCCATCACGAGAACCCCAGGAGAAAATGATCCGAGGCCTGGCCTGGAGCCAGAGGACGCACGGCGTGAGTCACGCCGCCGTGACATTTAAGCCTGCCCTACCCGACACCCTAGATCACCTGAGCTCCTGGGCCTCTGCAGTGGAAACATTCTTGGAGTAAACCAAGACGCTCGGGCACTGGGGCTGCTCTGTGGAGCACTAGCAGAAGCCTCCACGCGTCCCCCAGGACCCCGGGCGGCCAGTGTCAAGGCTGGAGCCTGCTGGGCCCTCGAGGGCTCGAAGACCTGGGACCACCCACCAAAACCCACGAGCTGCTGCCCGCATCGCCATGTCTTCCCGCTGTGGTTGTTTTAGCTACCAGCGCTGCCCACGGAACACTGGGCACCCGCGGGCCTCCCGGGGCCCTGGGGAAGATGGCAATGGAGAGACACACAGAAGGGTGGACCAGCAGGAGGCAGAGCCAGACTGCCAGCCCAGGAGACCCGGCCTCAGGGAAGGCCTTCGCAAGTCCCAAGGAGAAGGGCCCTGAGCTGTCTCTTCAGAGAGGGCCCGGACCCCAGAACAGGATGGGCGCTGGCCTGCAGCCCTGAATCCCAGCGGCCAGCAACTGTGGCCCTGCCCGGCTCTGCGGACAGGTGATGCCCACTTAAAGGGCCAGTGACAGGACAAGTACCTTCCCAGAGCCGGCCCTCCTTCCACGTCCTTCCCTGCCCGCCTCGGCCCCAGTCTCTCACCGGCTCTCAGAGCCATCCTGTGCCCGTGAGATCTCTGGGAGCGAGGCTGCTGGATGGGTGATGTCCACACGTATCTGAGGACAGTCAGACTACTTCCCAAGAGTCCGTCAAACTCAACACTCGACTCTAGAAAATACCAAACTGCCTCGCTGACACAAACTGTAAATAACGGAAGGATAGTGAGAGACCAGTTAGGAATTAGTCCAGAAGCCCCAGGAAAGTGGGTCAGGGCCTGGGGGTGGAGCCTGGCCCACCAGGCTGTGTCCAGTTCACAGCCCCACCCAGAATCCTCTCCAGAGGTGAGGTGGGTGAATTTGAAGGTCAGGGGGGTTCTTCTCCACCGTACCTCACCTGGCTGGAGCCAAGGCATGAAGACAGAGCAGCCAGCTGTGCCCAGCTCCTCTGAGCCGCAGACAGGGAGATGCCGCCTCTGGCTCCAGAATCATCCAGACCTCTCCCTAGGTCATGGCATCCCTGCCCACGCCCTTCTCCAAGCTAGAAACAAGCTTTGTTCTCTGCTTTTCACTTGACAGTCATTGCAAAGAAGAGCCAGCCAACGGGAGTGCTTCCACCATCCCCGCCAGCACATGAGCTGCAAGAGACCGTGATGTTCATGTGTTCTTGTCCAGTGGGAATCTCAGGGCTTGGAGCCATGCAGGTGTTGAGACTGGTGAGTGTTGAGTGAATGGCTGATTGGCTAACACCCACTTCCTAACTGTGTGCCGTTATGATAATACCGGGTTGGACATCTTTCACTGTGTAATGTTATATGGTGCCCACTCCCAGGTTAAGTGAAGTGGGCGTCTCTGTTCCAGATGAGTCTCGGGCAGTGCTGCACCCTCTCCTTGATCCTGGACAGTTGCTTTGCCCTATCTAGGCCTCAGTTTCCCTTCTGTGGGGGTGAGTGGCTTCAGCACCCTCAGGTCCCTTCCTTCCCCTGACATGGCCGCCTTGGGAGAAGGCAGCTAGGCTGGCTAACCCTACCCCTCACCCCCACCATGCCTCAGGAGAAGCTGAGTGCCACCCTGACGTCCTGAGCCCTGGCACTTAGAACAGATGTGCAGGCAGGCCCACGAGGTCACTAGTGGACACTACCACCAAGAGGAAGTCAGGACACACACGGAGGGTGGGCTGCGTGAGGACACAGGGCAAAGACGCCATCTACCCACCGGGGAGAGAAACCAGTCCTGCGGGGGCCTTGGTCCCAGACTCGGCATTGCTGGGAAATAAATCCTGTGCCGGCCCTGGCCTCCGGCCCTGGGTTACAGAAGCAAAGGCTTCACAAGTCTTGCCAAGGGAGGGGACAATGCCAGCCAGTCCTGCAGCCACTTGGAGGGACATGTGGGGTGACCTGGCCACCACACTCATTGCCATGCACAGGGTCCAGATGTGGGGGCCGGTGCTATGCCCAGAACTACAGACATTCCCTCTCTGAAACTGGGGAAACTGAGGCATGGGGAGTTCAGTGACACATGAATTCAGGCCAGCCTGTCTGACATCAAGGAGCTATCTCTCAACATTCTCTTGGGCCACTAGAAATCAACAAGGAGCCAGAGCTACAAGGGAAGGTGTGCCCCATGCCCCAGGGCCACGCCCAGGCCAGCTTGGAGATGCCCTTCACAGTCAAACCTCAGACAGGCTCATAGCCTGATGGTATAAAGGGAGAGAGCCTGTGACCCAGGAGCAGGCAGAGGCTTCCGTAGGCTCCACTAATCCAGTCCATCTGGGCAGCTGGATGGGACCAAGCGAAGCCCAGCACACACCTGCCAGTGCCCAGCTCCAGGAAGACGCCGGCTGCCTGTGGAGTGGGCAAGAGAGGCCCTTGCTGACCATGGAAGATCCTGACGTACCAAACGTGTCACACCAGGCAGAGGGACCACCCTGTCCACACACACCCCTCACTATGGGTGGGGGTGAAAATGCTTGCTGTGCATATAACAGGCCAGAGCAACAGGTGGCTGTGCACAGGTGAGCACCGCCCTCCTGTTCTAGAGACAATGCACATGGGCTGAAGGGGGCCTGGCCAGCCTGCCGAGTCCACCCCAAGCTCCGGGGGACACCCTGCAGGGGGGGGGTGCCTTGCCCCTTCCTAGCCAACACCAGTGCCAACACCTTCCAAAGAGACCAGCACGGGAGAAGCCCCCAGGGCCGAGACCATGGGACACACACACTGCTCAAACCCAGCCTCCTGGCCTCCACGCCCTAGCCACCTTCCTCTGCAGATAGCCTCCGCTAAAGGGAGGGCAGGAGAGGAGGGGACTGGCACAGGGTCCGTCTGAGGCTCCTGATTACAGGAGGGGCCGCGGGTATCAATTATAATCGCAGAGAGCTCGGAATTACCAGGTGCGCACCCGGCCATTATCCCCACCTGCCTTCAGCCGAGTGTCTGTAAGTCCTGCCAGGCCTCAGGGGGCCTCCTCCCCAGCCGGGTCAGAAGCCCTCTCCCATGGGGTCTCCCCTTCTGCGTCCTGCCCCAGACGCTCCCCGGAACTCGCTGCGAGGGAGAGGACAGGCTCCCGGGGGAGGGGAGAGCGGGGTCCCCACGGGCCCTGACGCGCGGCCCTCGGACCCGAGGCGCGCCTGGGCGCTCAGGGGTCGGCGGGGAGAGGCCCTGCCCGCGCCCCGCGCCCTCAGGCGGCACCCCGGGGTGCTGCGCGCCGGGGCCTCAGTTTCCCCCGCAGCACCGGCGGGCCGGGCCGCCGCTCAGCGGGATTTCCCAGCGCCGCACCGAGGCTGTCAGCTCCCGGGCGCGCGGAGGCCCGGCCGGGCCGACTCACCTACGGGCTCGGGGGCCCCACGTCGGCCTCGCCGGCGAGCCCGGGGCGCTCGGATCCGCCCGGCGCCTCGCACCCGGGCGCTGCGGGAGCTGCGCAGGGCGGCGGCGCCCGCGGCCGTCAGCACCGCTGGCTGGGCCGGGCCCTGCCCGGGACGCCGGCCGGGGACCCCGAGGGCGCCGCGGGCTTCGGGGGCGGGGGGCGCGCGGGAGGAGGACCCCCGGGGCTCCGCGGCCGGGCGCGGGAACGGGGACGACGTGCCGGCCCCGCGGGGTCCCGGCGCGCCGCGAACTCGGGTGGAGCCGCGGGGCGGTCTCCCCGCGTCGCAGGTGCAGCCGCTCGATGCCAGCCCCGGCGGAGCCTGGATGCAGCCCGGGCCCCCGCCGGCCCCTCGGCCCCCGGCACTCACCGAGGCTCATCCCGACGGCTGCGCGGACGCGGCGTCCCCGGCGCTGCCGCAGCCCGACGCCGGGGCCCGCGGGTGCGGCGCCCGCGCGGTGCAGCGCGCACCGGTCCGCTCGCTCGGCGCCCGCCCTGCCTGCAGCGGCGCCGCAGCCTCGGGCGCGAGGCCCCGCCCCGCCGCCCCCGCCCCGCCCCGCCGGCCCCGCCCCGCCCGCGCGGTGCACCCTGGGACGTGTAGGCGCCGCCTCGCCGCCGCGGGCCGCGCGCGCGCGCAGGCGCAGGCCGGAGACGCCCGCCGCAGCCTCCCGGGCGCCGCCGGGGCTCTGCAGAGCTGTCACCGCGGCGCGTGGGGAAGCGAGGTCGCGGAGGCTCTCTGGAGCCACGGAAGGCCTTCGGCCAGAGGGGGCACCGCGGCGGGGCGCGGATCACATGCGCCGGCCCCCTCCCCGCCCCACGGTCACGCTAGGCCCCGCGCAGCTCGCGGACTCCGAGGCCGGGCTGGCGTGGCCCCGCCGGCGGGCGCCTTGTGCGGGGCGAGGCGCGGGGAGGCGCGGGGCGGTGCGCACGGAGGCGCGGGGAGGCGCGGGGCGGTGCGCACGGAGGCGCGGGGAGGCGCGGGGCGGTGCGCACGGAGGCGCGGGGAGGCGCGGGGCGGTGCGGGGCGGTGCGCACGGAGGCGCGGGGCGGTGCGCACGGAGGCGCGGTCCTCCCTGCGCCCTCCCGGGCCGCGGTGACCAGCCCCTCCCGCCACGGACGTCAGGCTGCGGGGCGGGCCCTGGATCCGGTGGCGGGAGGGCGATTCTACGAGGCTCCCGCGACCTCAGGTGGGAAGACGGCGCCGCAGGCCCGGGCGGGGAGCGCCCGTCACCCCGCCCTGCGCGCAGAGCCACCCGCAAGGCCTGGAGATGCTGTCTGGAAACGAAGGCGAGACACCAGGAGTTCGGACTCCGTGGGCCCTCGCCATCTCCCTCCCGTAGGCCGGGGCCCAGGCGCGCACGAGGCCGGCGCAGGCGCGCTGGTCCTGGGATGGAGGGCCAGGTGTGCCCTCTCCATCGCTCCTCCACCCTGTGGGCCGCAGGGCCCTGGCGGTGGAAGGCCTGAGCCAAGGACCGGAAGCACGGCGCGGGAGCCCAGGGGGCGGCAGGGGGCCTGCCTGCTTCTGCCTCCACCTTCATCCTCAGCCCCTGGCTGTGAGGACAGGTCTGCCGTGGGGTGACCTCAGGCTGGAGTGCTGCGGGTGAGCTGAGACTGCATCATGTCCGCTGTTAGTACACCGTGGTCTCCATTCCCAGTGCCTAACCCAAGGACATAGCAGGCAGCCCTCAAGAAAGGGAGAGTATTGTACCTGCAGGAAGCAGGCTGAGGGCCCCTGGCCCCTCCCACCCGAGGCCCCTCCCACCCAAGGCTGGAGCAGCAATTCCCCTGGGCCCCTAAAAGCTCCTTAGGCCCTATGGTTTCCTCCTCCCAGACTTCGGAGCACCTTGTGGAGGCCGCAGTCCCCTCTCAGCAGAATCCTTGTGAGTAGGGGTGCTGTGCTGTGGGCTGCCCAAATGTATGGGGTGGGGGGCTCACTGCAGTTCCCAATCTGGAAAGATCCCTGAAAAGTCTCCTTGTGAGGGCAGAAACTGGGGCCCAGAGAGGTCCCAAAGCCAGCCAGCAAGTTGGTGGCATCCAGGGAGCAGCTGACCCACACCTTGTCCCCCCCTGGGCTGCCCCAGTCGGGGTGGACCTCAGGGCATTTGACTTGAGTCCAATCAGCTGATTTGAGTGGATTGAAACAGACCTTGGAGCTGAGCCTCCAGGGCTTCAAACCAGGTGCAACTCAGCCTCTTGCCTTCCTTCTCTGGGCCTTAGTTTCCCCATCAGGTCACAATGCATGTACCCTGAAAAATCACCGGTAACATCAATAGAACATTTCAAAGGTCCTGCCACTGTGTCGGAGCTCACCAAATAGTGGTTATGGTGATGCAGTCATTATTGAAGCAGACCAAGGGGCTGGGAAGGTGGCTCAGTGGTAGAGCGCTTGCCTTGCATGCATGAGGCCCTGGGTTTGATTCCTCAGCACCACATAAACAAAAAGAAAAAAAAAATGAAGCAGACCAGAAAGCAGTGCATCAGGGCCGTGGCTATTCTCACACCTGTGCCTTCACCACGCCCCCCGTGACAGGGATTCACGGGGAAACAGATGGGAGCCATCACGGGAAAACGCTGTGGGCTGCTTTCCGAGCTGCCTGATGGGAAGGAGGCGTTTTGTCAGAGGCTTTCCGGGGCTTGAGACACGGGGCTATGGATGGCCTAACCGTGAGGCCTGGACTCTTCACTGTCCAGAGAAAGATCTGGGCCTCGGTGGAGCCTAGCCCTCCCTGCCCAGCTTAGCCCTGCCCCATCAGGGGCACCAGCTGTGTGGGGGCCTTCCAGTGATTATCATGTTTCCCAGGGGACTCCCATCTCCTCCTGGGAATCTTTCCCAGACACAGGCCTCCTTGCCGCACAAGCCTGCCCTGCTGCTCCTGCTAGAGGCCCTGTTGCGTCCACCTCCCCCCCCCCCCCCCCCCGCGTCCTCAAGCAGGGCCATGGTCTCCTGGGCTGGCTTGGAGAGGGTGCTGCGGTAGGAGTGTGCCCCTAGATTCCAGTGGGGATGGTGCTGCAGGGGCCGAGGAAGGGGAGGGGAGTTCAGAGGGTGGCCCCGTGCTGAGCCAGCAGCCCTCTGTGTCCTGCCTGGGACGTCCTGTGCCAAGGCCCCCACAGGTGCCAACACCATGCTCTTGGTTTTTCCGCCCTCTGGAGCCAGGAGCCAGGCCCACCCAGTGTGGTGGTGTCATCGCGATGAGAGGGGGCTAGGAGAGGGAAGTGTGAGAGGAAGAGTATGAGCTGGGCTGGGGGAAGGGAGGGCGTGGCCCCCAGTGCTGGGCTGGCTGGGGGGGGAGGAGGGCCTGGGGTGGTACGGTGGGGGAGGAGGGCCTGGGGTGGTACGGTGGGGGAGGAGGGCCTGGGGTGGTACGGTGGGGGAGGAGGGCCTGGGGTGGTACGGTGGGGGAGGAGGGCCTGGGGTGGTACAGAGGAGCCGGGTTCCATGGAGGGAGCAGAGGATGGCCATGAAGCTGCACCCAAGAGGACTGCTAGGGACCACACCAGCTAAAGCAGTCACAACGGGGCGTCCTTAGATTGTTCTGTGCCCTTTCCCACAGGCTGGAAATGTCATTCCAGCGGATCCTACAGTTGCTATAGCATCACTACCCTCATCACCATTACCATCAACACTGCCGCCATCTCTACCACCATTACCATCACCACCATCCACATCACTACCACCATTACCATCACCACCACCATCCACATCACCACCACCATCAACATCACCACCATCCACATCACTACCACCATTACCATCACCACCACCATCCACATCACCACCACCATCAACATCACCATCAACATCACCACCATCCACATCACTATCACCATTACCACCACCACCACCATCAAGATCACTATCACCATCAAGATCACTACCACCATCTTCACCACCACCATCAACATCACCACCACCATCAACATCACCACCACCATTACCATCACCACCACCATCAACATCACTACCACCACCTTCACCACCACCATCCACATCACCACCATCCACATCACACCATCCACATCACCACCACCATCAACATCACCACCATCCACATCACTACCACCATCAACATCACCATCACCATCTTCACCATCACCATCAACATCACTACCACCATCTTCACCACCATCTTCACCACCACCACGATCCACATCACCATCACCATCAGCATCACTACCACCATCTTCACTACCACCATCATCATCATGCCCGTTTTAGTTTCTCCTGAGGCCTAGCGAACTGTCACACAATGAGGCATCTGGAATTGTGCCCCCTCCTAATCAATCAGTCCAGGGACTGAGCATAAAGTACCCAGACAAGAGGTAGTGCCCCGTAGTGCCAGTACAATATGCGGGGCCTCTCCTGGATGGCGGAGGCCTGGCCGCTGGGCCCTGTGTGGTACTCCTCCTTGGAGAAGCTACCCCAGTGCCCCGCTGGGTCCTGGCCCCTCTCTCCCTCCGGCTGTGTCTGTCATCCTGCGATCACCTTGTGTCTTGGTTTCTAGAGCACCCTGGGGCTCTCCGTGTCCATGGTGCTCTGGGGGTCCCTGTGGCACAGAGGGAGACCCGCTGGACAGGGGCATTTGTGTGGACCCCCCATTCTGCAGAGGAAAGAGGCCAGGCCTGTGTGAGCCCCCTTCAGGCTGCAGAGCTCCCACACATTGCTTCTCTGGAGGCCCTCCTCCCCCCCCCCCCTGGACTTAGAAAGGAGGTGTTTGCCCTGGAAACCTAGCTGTGCGGAAGCCCCGCGGGCAGCGGTGCAGCAGCGCGGCCGCGGAGGCCTGGGCAGCGTCTCCAGCTGAGTGCCTTCCCACTCGCTATGGGAGAGCCCGGGCGCCCTCCGCTCCGTCCTCTGCTCCAAACGCAGCCCAGGAATTGATTTGCCTCTCAGTTAACGGAGAAAGAGATGAAATACGATTTCATTGTGGATTCTCTCCAACCGCTCAGTCACTTACAACCACGCCACGTGAAACCCACAGGGAAAAAAACAGCTCGAGACTCACAGTTTGGAGCCTTGCTCCAAGGCGGGTCCATGCACCTGCGGGTCACCTTTGGCTAACCCCAGTCCTGCAGATGGGCTGCCCAGGCCACAGGTGCGGGAGGGGATCGCGGAGGATGCGCGCGTGATAGTCCCATCGAGTCATGGAAAAGAGTAGAAAATGTTGGCCTGATTCTGGGAATGCCTCACACAGAACAAAGCGTGGACCAGGCTGAGCTGCTGTGACACTTGGGCCTGTGCAGTAGAAATTGGAGAAGGGAAGGAAGGAGAAAGGAGAGGGAGGAAGAGTGCCAAGCTCTAAGGTTCCAAGGTGATGGCATTTATTGAGCACCCACTGCACACCGGCCTCTGTGCTGGCAGTTATTGAGCACCTACTCCTCACGCCGCATCCTTCTGCGTGTACTGATTTCCCCTT